CACATACTCAACAGAAATCACTTGGAAGTTATCACAGAAGCTAATTTCAAAGACACAGCCTAATTTACTTTGAGCTGCCAGGTTATTATCTCTGACATAATCACCTGGTCTCTCTTGGCTCTGTGTTTCCACCAAGATCAAACAGGCTCCAAAGAACGATCCCAAGAACTGAAACAGGGAACAAAAAGCCTACTTAGCTTTACACTAAGTTACTGAAGCAGAAAATGGGAACTAACCTGATGATTTCCCCTTTAGAAGCTAAAAGTAAGAAGGAACAAAAAAAAAAAAAAAAAAAAAAAAAAAAAAAAAAAAAAAAAAAAAAAAAAAAAAAAAAAAAAAAAAAAAAAAAAAAAAAAAAAAAAAAAAAAAAAAAAAAAAAAAAAGAAACAAAAAAAAGCTGCATTTATTTAATTTATAAAGGGTTGCTTTTGATTCAAACTTGCCCTTGACCTGGAATCAAAGGGCGTCGCTCTGAAAGCTTTGTGGAGACAGAATCACTATGTTGGCAAGGTCAGCAGCACCTGGCAGAGTTTTTTCCTGTTTTCCTCCTGATGTATTTAGAAGTCCTGCATTACACGGGCATGGAGACAGTAGAAGGATGATTTCCCACCAAAGCCTAAATAACTCAGGTGAGCTTCCCATGAAAATATGTATTGACCAAGATTAGAAAGGGAAAGCAGCTCTATTTCTCATGCTGACACCCTTGGGTATAGAGCTGCCTAAGTACAAATGCAAATTCGAGCTGGGGGGAAGGAATGTTAATTCATATCCACAAACACCAATAATCCACGCTTCCTACGCATTTGTTTTCACCTATTTTACTGCCATTGACACCAGACACACCTTACAAAAGCAGCAACTCTTTTTTTTGACTCTTTCACCAACCCCTGAACACAAACCAACCATCCCTAGACATGCACACTGGAAGACTCGGGGAGTAATTAAAGCTGTGCCTGACAGTGGGATTTCACATCCCGTCCCAGTGCCCACAGCTCCAGGAGAACGTTGGAAGGAAAAAAGAGAAAATTCACAGACTTCACTGAGTGACAAAAAAACACACCTTGCTGCTGGAAGCACACTGAGCCCCACTGATTTACTGACAAGAAAGGATGTGATGTTCAAATTACTTTTATCATCTCTATCGCAGGACGGGACAGAAATTTCATCAGCAAGTTCAGTTTAGGAAAGCAAATATTCGATGGCAAATTGAAGAAAACCACAAACACTGGTCCTGATCCAGCCAGAGATGACACTCAGGTGAGAAACCAGTGTAGCCAGAGTCCTAGACCCCAACAATCCTCACTCCTCCAGGTCCCTGGGCCAAGATGAAAGCTGGCAGAACTAGCCTGGGCAGAGCCTCAGCACCAATCTGGCCTTGATTGTGTTCTTTTCCTCATATTCATAAAGGGATGAGTAAAATCCTCATTAAGTCACGGTCTGTCACATCCTGGAGTGTTAGCAACCTTCTGCAACCCCTCTAAAAAGTGGCAAAGTATACTGTCTTATTATTAAAAGCCATTAATCCACAGTGGCTTTGTCTTCTATCTTGATGAATAGAAATTATTTAGGG